CAGGGCTTGACCGTTCATCAAGGAAGAGTTGAAGAGGTGAGGGAATGGTGGTGATTTACACCAGGACAAGCTTAACCAAGAGGCTGGAGGGCAGGGAGCAGCTGAAAGCTGTTAGAAAAGCATGGCAATTTGCAGGGTTCTCTAGGGTCATGCTTATCTCTCTTTAAAAGAAAAGCAAGCCAAGTTTGGTGGTTTCTTTGTTTGCTTTTTTTTTTTTGTTGTTTTTAAATCCACATGTAGAGAGTTAGGCTTCCAGACCTATCTTTAAACTTAATAAGTGGCCAGATTTTCAAAGGTGCTCAGCATGTAGGAACCCTCCCACTAACTGGCTTCTTTCTTGCTGTGAACGATCCTCAAAGAGGGGGTTTTCAAGCATTCTCTTTGCTTTTGACAAGGAACACTTATTCCTCTAATAAAAAAAGAATATAACTCCTGCTTTTTCTCATGCCGGCCCTCCCGTTTTGTTACTCTTCAGCCTCAACCCCAGATAAGTGTCCTGCAAACAGCACTGATGATGTGGCCTGGCCTCTCCCCATCCAGTGTAAACTTCAGCAAGATACCAACAGCATTCAAGACTAATCAGAATCACTGCTTTAGTGCATTCCATGGTATCTGGTGGGGGGTTGAGTGCAGAGGAAAATGAGTCTCACTGCTGTTGCAATCAGCCGTTCCTTCCTCCGTCAGCATCCCAGGTCAGATGCAGTAGAAAGGTTTGGATCTCCTGGCCGTGAGGAACAGGAAATGAGTGTTCTAAAGAAAGGGCTCTTCCCTTAAAAAGAAAGAAAGAAAGAAATGCTCTGTGTTCATTTCTAGGGAAAGCTTTTAGTAAGTGCTTAGCAACCAAAACTGATAACGCTGGCTCCCTTTCAGCTTGACTGATTTGAGAACGGTCTTTTTTTTTTTAATCTTTTCCCACTCAACAGCTCCCTCACACACATTATGCAGTGTTTTCCACCACAGCAAGACTGGTAGGAAGAAGACTTGCCACAAAATCAGATTATTACTTGCTCTAGCTCTGTGTGCCTGTCATGAACTCATTTTTGTACCTCACGAATTTCTGGGAGGGGGAAACTCAGTCTGATGAGCATGTTGCAACAATTTTATCATTACATATTGCCAGATATTGTTCAATCTCTTATGTTGTTGCTAAACAGCTGATATCTAAATGCAGAGGACCATCTGAATAAGTACACTTGTACTTTTTTGGCTTGATAGGTGTATTTGAAAGAAAAAGCACTGCAATGCATTCCTGTTTTCCATTAAGATCTGAAGAGTTGCATCCTCTTCAGGTTGACAGGGACCACTCGACTCGAGAGAATGTGCAGATCAGAGCAGAGTTTGCCCTTCTGGGCAATCCTGGGGCGGCAACACACCAGCTGGAAACAGTAATCCCAGTTCTATTAGCACTTCAGAATCTCATATAAACCCTCCACAGTTACACCCGACAGTCATTCCTCCACTTAAATACATTCTTTTCACTCTGGGCTCGTACAGAGCTTGACTATGGGGGTTAGAGACAGCCCTGGACTCGCCTAGAAGTTGTCAGGTGAGAGTCAATCATGCAGACAAACTAAGAGCAGCTAAATACAAGCAAAGGGCTGTGCTTGGTTGCTGATTCCAGCTTTACTCAGGAATGTGATATGGGATTTCTGCAGCTTGTACTGGGCAACATCCTTTACTAAAAGTCTTGTGTGCTGTCAATTATACATCTCAGTTTAGGAAGGGATTATTTCAAAGGTAAACCGGACAGCAGAACCTACTGGAGGACTCACGTTATAAGTTTGCAATGAAGGAAAAACCTGCCTTTGATGCATTGCTTTTGGATGTACTCATGAGCACATGGATCAGTTTTCTTCCTTTTGTGGGAACACCAATAAATCTCACTGCTTTTGCTCAGCAGGTGATAATGATGCCCAAATGTTGTGTGTCTTGCGAGGTCTGATCTGCTGAACTGCTGCAAAATGATTGCTTTCTCCTCTCATACCAAATCCCCTCCGGGCTGGATTCATCTCACCAGCTTTGCTCATCCAGAAGGAGGTTAGAATTAGAACTACCTCCTCTAAATCAGCTGTCCAGGCTCCCTCAGACAGCTGAGATGTAGGCACTGCTGAAAGGGGTCTCATTTCACCTTTCCTACCCACCCACATTATAACATGAGCCATCTGGAGGCATCTGGACCACTCACTTGGGCTGGACACTTAAGTATTAGACCACTGGAAGTGATGTGGGTTTTTTGTTTGTTTGTTTGTTTGTTTTTTCCCAAAAGCATGCAGGCAGTGCAAAGTCTGCATCAGGAAAAAAACCTCCTGTAAATGAAATTTACATTTCAATGAAATATATTTGCCCATAAAGGACAAAAATGTCCATCAAAGACACGTGGATATGATTAATTCTAGGGAAAGCCATGAAAATGTGGATCCAGAAGAAGCTAAAGACATAAAACCATGAAGTTGGCTGCCACTTTTCAAGTAGTTCAGTGTGTGGTAATATACATAATTCTAGATAAAATTAAGTTGAAGGTATATTGCTCATTTTTTTAAAACACCCAATTCCTTTTATCCCATTGAACAGAGTGCTCTGGTACATATCATGTACTGAACACATGTGTGTGCTCCATCCCACTGGAACAGGTTGCCCAGAAAAGCTGTGGAACTATCCCTGGATGTGTTCAAGGCCCTGAGGAACATGCTGGAGGTCAGAGCTCCGGGGTTTGGCAGTTTCATAAGGACTGAAAAATGTCCAGAGAGGATCCTGCCATTGTGTGCATTGCTCCCTGTGCTCCTGGCATAACCCCCGATTTAGGAAATACAGAGGGGATGTTCCCAACATGTTTTAGGGATAACATTTGTCCCTCATGCATGGTTGGGGCCCAAATGGTATGTCAGATTCCCAAATCTGTCTCACCTTCTCTGTGGGTGCAGTTCCCACCTCTTCCTCTGCCAACCAAATAAATAACTTGCTTTGTGTGCTCCAGTGAGTGGCTTGGGATTTGAACCTGTTCCTTTATCTCTCATTTTACCTCTCACTCTGCCTATCAGATGATGTTTCCTGCATCAGGTCACTGCTGCAGTTGGTTAAATACAGGTTAGCAGGTCTCTGGAACCCGGTGGCTGAGGAGAGATTTTATTCTCTTCTGGGGCAAAGACCCAAATCTTGCAGAGCTATTCAAGAAAAATCTTGGAAGCGCTTTGTCACTCTTGTTGGCTTTCCCTTCATTTTCTCAATCAAAATGACAGATTTCTCAAGCAAAATGACAGATTTGGGACAATGGGACTAAATGAGGGGTTAGGTCTGTCTGCTGTGGTTTTATTCCTCCATGATTTGAGGAGGGGTTGACCTCTTTTTGGCACCTGATTTTAGAAAAAGCCTTCACGCCCAAGAGCCATGGCCTTTTCTTCCTTCTTGTCTGTCTTCTTAGTGGTCTCTACTGCCTTTTTGGATGTGTTTCTGCTCAACCTTTTGTTTTCTGTGAAAGAACAGGATCTCCTGGTTCCCACTTTTCCTTTCCTGCCTCCATGCACTGCTTGGGGAGGGGTCATGTGTGGGAGTCAAGGCCAAGGATTTTCCAAGACCACGTGGTGCTTTTATGCCAGGTGATGCTCAGTCAAATATCACTTTGCCTCGGTGCTCTTCTGAATTTGGCTCCTCTGGCCTGGACTGATCCCATTTCTCCTGAAGCACTGATGCCAGGATCTCAGCCACACTTGGTTTCTGTAACCCCTGGCAATAGGAGAGGCTGATTCAGCCCCTCAGCTCTGAAGTGCCCTTTGGAAGTGCCCTCTCTTTTCTGTCCCCTGCCCTCTGTTGACTACAAAAGGTGCTGGGCTGCACAGGATTCCCAACACAGGTGTTTCTGTTGCCCACAGGCCCCTGGGATGCATTCCCTGCAGCACTGGCTGTGGTGGAAATGGGGTTCTGTTTCCACAGCCTGTGCTGAGCCTTGCTGTGGAGCTGGGCAGCCTCACCGCCCTTTTGCTGCCCAGCCACTCAGCTCTCTGGCAGAGCCTGCTGCTCTGGCAGCGGGCAGGGAGCCCATTCCCCGGGCAGTCCGGGGTGCCAGATGACCCCTTAAAGGAGGCTTTAAGTGAAACAGAAATGAAAAACAGCTGTAACCAGAAATGCGTGTTAAGCAGGATCTGTGCTGTGACACCATGAGATAAATGCATCTCCCACATCACTCCTAAATCAGAGCAAGGACCCTCTCAAGAGCAGCTTTGGGGCTGCTGTTACGGTCGGCGACCAAACTTATTTTTCCTGCTTTCTTTTGCCAAATTATTTTTTGTTAAAATGTTTTGTTTTGTTGGAACCATGTTCATGCTCTGCATCACTTGTTAGTCCTGCTTCCCTGCCAGTCCTGCCAGGACCCCTGTGCCAGGGGCATCAGACCCCTCTCAAGTAGTAGAGGCTCTTCATAGCATGTCACAAAAAAAGTTTTCCTTTCTTCAGACTGAATCAACCCCTCTTCCCTTGCTTGGACGTAAGTTGTTTCATTTATTTGGAAGAAATTTTGAGTCTCTGTTTCAAGGAGGGGCAGAAACAGAAGCAAATGAATGAAAAGCCAAGGGTGGGTTACAAGACCTAGGGAGCAGACCTCTTCCACAGGCATCCTTGAGATGCCCACCAGGGTGTTCTGTTTAACCTGCCTGATCCCGTAGCGGACCTGCCGGTCCCGCTGGGCACCCCGTGTCTCACAGCCCGCTGCCTGGCATCATCCCTCCAGGACATCTGGCACTGATTCCAACCAGACTGTCATTTCCAGGTCAGTCTCCGCATTTCTGCTGACCACGTTGCCTCCATCATGAGATCATGTCTTTCCAGAGGAATCCTGCTAATGCCTTCATTCTGCGAGACCGGTATATATAGGGGGGAGCTTCCCTGGGGCTGCACCGCGCAGTCCAGCCAAGGCATCGCCGTCTCCCCAGCAGCGGCACTGCCCCTTCTGCTCTCCCCTTGCAGCCACAGGTCGCAGCAGCAGCAGCAGCAGCAGCAGCAACAGCAGCATGGACATTACCATCCAGCACCCCTGGTTCAAGCGCGCTCTGGGACCCCTCATTCCAAGCCGTTTGTTCGACCAGTTTTTCGGGGAGGGTCTCCTCGAGTATGACCTCCTGCCTTTGTTCTCGTCCACTATCAGCCCCTACTACAGGCAGTCCCTCTTCCGCAGCGTGCTGGAGTCGGGCATCTCAGAGGTAAGGGCCCTTTGGCTGCCTCTCCTTTTCCTTCTGCTCCCTCCTTGTGCCTCCACCTGCTCCTGCCCACCCGAATCCCACCGGTGGCTGTAGCCCCGTGCTGTGGTGCGAGGGGGCTCAGACCTCCAGCCCACCACCAGGCACAGTCCACTTGCCCCTTCCTGGGCACAGAGGGAAACCTGCACTGGAGATAAGCCCTCCCCTTTGAGAAACAGAAACCATTTTGGTTGTTTCCAACATGTAAAAAGCTGCCTTTGCTGCTCTGTGCCCACCAGCCATGTGGCAAGGAAGAGCCAGGCTGCTCCCAGAGTGAGGGCCTGCAAGGGCAGCTCGGCATGGGTGAGGACCCTGGTGGGCAGGAGCTTTCTCCAGCCCCCTCCTCCACCTTGGGAACACGGTGTTTTTGACAATCCCACACAGAAGGACCCTGGAGCAATCCTCCAAAGGCAGCTGTAGGAGTGTGCAGCCCTGGGGGATGAGGTCTGAAGCTCAGGAACCAGTTCTTTCTCTGGCCCTTTCTTACTGGTTTCCTCCCAGAGCTAAGACCACAAAGAAACCCTTAAACACTGAAAGGACAAAACGTGCCATCAGAGAGTATTACACTGGTTTCCATCCCCTCTTACTGCTGAGTACAAACGCCCAGTGCATCTGGCAGACTGCTGAGAGCAAAAGGGTCCCTGACACAAGAATAGCAGCAAGAAGTGACACCTCTCCCCAGAGTAGTTGCAGTGGTGCAGACACCTACCAGGGCCTCCCAGCGTCCCTGGGTCCCCGTGATGGGAAAGAAAACCCCTGCTGAGGCCCATGGTCATGGAAGGAGAAACTGTGTCACTACCAGAGCACCCCATCTCTGGCTTTTAAGCTTTTAAGCTGACTCCACACTCAGAGCTCAGGTCTCACTGTCTGACAATGCTCTTTTCAGGTGAGGTCTGATCGGGACAAGTTTACAATCATGCTGGATGTAAAACACTTCTCTCCTGAAGACTTGAGTGTGAAGATTATCGATGACTTTGTGGAAATCCACGGCAAGCACAGTGAAAGACAGGTAAGTGGAAGTGATGTGATGGTGGAGCAATTGGGGAGTCGAGCTCCGTTTTCCTTCTTTCCAACAGTTCTCAGCTGAAGGAAAAAAAGAAAAAAAGAATATATCAGAAGAAGGAGTTATTTATCTATTGTCACTATTGGCATGGCCAGTTCCCATAGAGCCCCAACCTGATATCTGACAATAACAAGCTAATCCACTCCTCTTTTGTTTATTTTCAATCATCATCTTCCATAACCGTCAGATGACGATGTCCATTGTTCCCTAATAACACTGGACCAGACAAAGAACATCATCTGGCGCTGCTGAAGCATGGCTGAGTTTTCATAAGCCAGAATCACTAGTGAAAACAGAGTTTTCATACGCTGATCTGGGAGAAAAAAAGCAAGAGCAAACAAAACAAAAGAAAAACAACCAAGTGCCTGGGGCTTGGAAACTTTTAACACGTATGTCATGGAAATATCCGTGGGGGTCGAAAAGTGTATTATACCAGCAGGGGTTTAATTCTTCTCACACACATATTTGGCCAGACAAAGCTCTAGTCTGGAAACAGTATGTATTTTTTAGTATAGTTGTTTTTTCCAGAGGAAGAGAGCAGCCGTTTTCATGGCCGACTTAGAAAAAATAATTGCATTTCTCATTCTTTTGGCCAGAAAAAGAAGGGGGCCAGGACTGTGTCTGACACAGCATTGCAGCCTAGTAAATAAATACATGGGTGCACGTGCCTGCCTTGCTTTTACCTTCCCAGAACTCCAGGCTTTGTCTCCATTCATCCTTTGAAACGGGCAACTTAAATCAGATCCCAGCCTGTAATATGGCCAAAAATCACACCCTGCTGCTCTGCTCAGTTCTTCCAGCTTCAGGGGCATCACAGGGCACACCCACCCCTCACAAACCTCTAAAATATTAAAAAAAAAGCAGCGATGTGCCCAGCGGTGCTGGCAGCGCAGCATCAAGATAATCCTGGGGGATTGTGGATGCCCCTGCAGGGCCGGGCAAAGGGAGGCACGGGGTGTTTCTGACAAGCCTTCCCCCGCTTTCCCCCACTGCCTCTCAGGATGACCACGGCTACATCTCCCGGGAATTCCACCGCCGGTACCGCCTGCCCGCCAACGTGGACCAGGCCGCCATCACCTGCTCGCTGTCCAACGATGGCATGCTGACCTTCTCGGGCCCCAAGGTCCCCTCCAACATGGACGCCGGCCACAGCGAGCGGCCCATCCCCGTGTCCCGGGAGGAGAAGCCAACCTCCGCTCCTTCCTCCTAGGCCCGCCCGCCACCGCGGCGCGCAGGCTGCCACCGCCCGCGGGTCTCGCTCCCAGAGCCATTGCCTAGATATCAGTGAATATCCAGAGGGGTTTATTTTGTTGGTTCCCCCCCTACTTTGTTTCCTCTTTTTTTTTTTTTTTTTTTTTTTTTCCCCTCCCCTCTTCCTTCCCCCACCTTTTTCCCTTGGATGGAACGAGGGGCTGGGTGAGCAGCTGGTGGACTAATTGAAGTTTAAGCCTGTGGGGATGGCATGGATGGCGATGCTGCCATGCTGCTGTACTTGCTGAAAGGGTCTTCGTCTGGTGCTGTAGCCCGTATCCACCACCAGATAGGAGGGAGTGCACGAATAACGCTGGCTCCTGGTGCACCAAGTCTTCAGGCGAGGCTTGGAGCAGGGAAAAAAGCCCTGCAGACTTGCTCTACCCCACTCAGAGTTAAGCTGGTTACTCTTAAAAAAACAAACAAACAAACAAAACCAAAACAGCAACAGAGCCAAGCCCCACACTCGATATCCCCTGTGCGTGCAATGAACCTGCCACGAGTTCCTTGCAACTGCAGAAGTAATAACATCTTACCTTCAGGGTGTTGAAACGTGGTTTGGGTTGTTTGGGTTTTTTTGTTTGTTTTTTTGTTTGTTTTTTTTTCTCCAGCAAAGTGTTTAAGTGTATCTGTTCACACCACTGCCCTGTCGTTTCCCTCAGGGACAACTGGCAGGAGGACAAGGATGTCTTTCTACTGTCTTAGTAGGTCCTCGGGGGAGAGAGGGGGGCTCACCGCTGTGCAGAGGCTTCCCATCCCCAGCCAGCTCTCCCCAGCCTGTGCGTTAACACACCGTCTCCCTTGCTCTCCCTGTAATTCTAGGGTAGCTCCACCTCTTCCACTGGTATCTGGCGCTCAACCTGAGAACGTGGTCAGTGGCGCTCAATAAAGTGATATAGGAAACACGCAATTGGCTTTGGGGGTTTCATTTGTTCCCTTGGAAGGTTTTTGGAGGTCAGCGTGGTGCTCGTCACCGCTTTATGGATGAGCTTTCCGCCTCTGGAAGTACATTTCGGGATGATGGCTCGCCCTTTCTTTCATGTTCCTGTTATCCTTCATGCAATCAAAACAAAAGGATCAGAAAAAAAGAACAAAATTCAGCAGCCCGACAACCACAACATTCTTTCAGTTCATTGGGTCAGTGCAGACAGCAGTGCAGACCTCACCTCCAGGATCAGAAAAGGATCAGAAAAAAAGAACAAAATTCAGCAGCCCGACAACCACAACATTCTTTCAGTTCATTGGGTCAGTACAGACAGCAGTGCAGACCTCACCTCCATGGAACAATGTGAAGGATGTAATCCCAAATTAATGATTAAAGCTGCTTGATGGTAGAGTGTAGGTAGGAGCTCTCCCTGCAGCTGCCACATGTGAAATCCATAGCTCCCGAGTCTGCACAGATGGGAGTGCTCAAGACTGAAGGTTTCAGCACTCATGCTCCATTCAAAGAGCTTTCCACACAGACAGAAATACTGGATGCTTAGGAAAGGCTGATAACCCCACATGCACATAATTAACCCCATAGGTAAAATCAGCTTGGACAGGGAGTACTTTTCCTCTTGGTAGAGATCTCCACGTCCAAGACCTGTAACAGGAGGTGGACCTTCCAAGGTCCACCTTGGCTCCCAAGTAGAGAAGGTCACTGCTTCCCCGGGAGCAGACACGTTTGTCTCAACCAGCATTCTTTGAGGGCTCCTGGATCCCACCTGCAAATCAAGGCAGGGCGACAACAAAACAAGGACATCCTTCCCAGGGAAGAGCACAGGTCCGTGCTCTCAGTGGGAGGTGAGAACAGTTGGAGAAAAAGTGTTTGCTCTGTCAAAAAGCTGACCCCATGGCCTCCTCCTCTTTGCTGCTGATTAGCTGTGAAAAAGAGAGAAAAATGCAGTTGTTTTTGTTTGTTTTGTTGTGGTTTTTTGGGGTTTTTTTGTCATAGGATGGGTTTAAATATTAATATGAACCATAAACACAGAAGCTCTGGGACTATTTAAATTTAAAAAGCGCCTGCTTCCACCTCATCAAGGCCAAAACCCAGGGAGGACTGGGAATCAGGAGCAAAGGCTTTGCCTCTTATCCAGAGAAATTGAGTGTGTCCCAGGACTCATCCTTGTCCAAACCTCCCGAGGACAGGGGTGCTGGGAGCATTAGTGGGACCAGCATCACAGCAGGATGCCGGCAACTGGGCAGCTGGAGGAGAACCAGGGGCAAGGCTGCATGAACTGGGTAGTGCTGCAGAATCAGGGACGAGCAGGCAAGGAGGGTGATTACTGCCTGGTAATTAGAAAGCAATAAATCCCCTCAGCGTCTGGCACTATTTTAAACCAATTTTTTACTGAGATTAATTACTGGGCAATCTTGAAGCTTTCTACTAAAAATTGTGCTGCTTTTGCATTTGCATCTCAGGGGGAAAAGCGTGCATGAGCCCACTTTGGGAGAGAGCAGTTTTGTTCCAGGAGGGAGCTCTTGCTACAAGCACGAAAAGGGCATTTTATTTGAAGCTGCCTTTTGCTGCTTTGCCTGGCACTAACAGGCCCCTGGCCTCTGCTGCTTTCCCCTCCTCCCCTCGGAGACAGCTCCTTGCCAGAGCCTTGGTGCCTCCCCACCACGTGGGGAGAAACTCAGCAAAGCCAGAAGGAAAAAAACCCCAAATCCCAGCCCCAGACATTTATCCCCCATTCAAAACATCTCAGAGATGTAAAAGGAGGAAAACACATTTTGAGCGTGATCATTGTGCAGATGTTGCCTGCAGGTGTCTGAGCAGCCTGTGTGTCTGTCAGTCCCATGAAATGGGATTTGAACCATTTGTGGGCACCTCTTCATGCCTGGATTGCAGAAAGTGAGGGTTTGATGACAGAAAATCAGGACAGGTTTGGGGCAATCCTGGAGCCTCGCATGGGGGCAGCCCCTCACCTTTGGGGAACATCCCAGGGATGCCAGACTTTGACTGTCTTGCTGCTCTGACAAGGGCTGATTTTAAAGCCTTTTGCAATCCATCAGCTAATTAAAACCGTGAGGAACTCTAACAGCCTCTGTGCAAGGACATGCTGGGTGGCTGGTGGTGTTTTGTATAGGAGAGGGAACATGTCACTGAAGGCTCCCTAGTCTGCCCCCAAATCAAGAATACCCCTGGCTTCAAGGGGCTCATCCACTTGCAAAAGAACTTGAGCACTGGCAATAACTCCTCCCTGCTTACTGGCGTCTATGTGTCACTCAAAATATTTCACATTTTTCACCCAGAAGTCTTCCTAGTCACATCCCTTCAGGATACTCCTCCTATTCCTCCTCCTCTGTGCACTTGGCTCCGCAAAAGTTCTTGTTTCTCTGTGCCAAGATTAATTTTCATTTAAAGAAAGTCTTGTCATTCATAGCCTATGACCACCAGTTTCGGCAAGGAGCTCTTCACCACAGCTTTTCTATGCAAATTCACCTGCTGATAAGGTGTTGATAACACTCCTCAAGGATTAACAAAATTTTTTGGTTAGTGATTCAGTGGATGATTTTGTCATGGAGGGAAAGACAGCAGAGGATCCTCCCCACAGGGAACCTTCAAAGCATCCAGGCAGTTCGGTGTAGGGTGGCCTGTAACCATGGCCTTCTGCTCAGGGTGACTATTCATGCTTTTTGCACTGTGTTTTTATTACCTGCCCTCTGTTGCCACTCAGATTGATTAGTTTGGTTGCCTAAAGCAAAGTAGAAACGACTTTAGCTTCCCCTCCAGAGGAATTATTAAGGGGTCCTGATGGTGATGCAGCAGACAGTGGCCCAGGGATGTGCACCCTCCTCCAGGCAATTCCCCTTCTTCCCAGAGGCTCCGGTAGCTCAGTGGGGGTGGCAGTGATGTGGAGGGCAGCAGCAGCAGCTGCTGGTGCTGTGCCTGCCCTCTCCCCTCAGTATTGCACTGCTTGGGCAGGGTATGTCACCTCTGCCAGGATCCTCTTTCCAAGAAAAGGCTGGGAGCAAGAGCTGGCAGGATCCGACCTGCAGGTCGCCAGCCAGGAAGCTGTCCCTGAGCATTTTGGGCATGGCTCCTTCCTTGTCTCCCCTCTTGGCAGGGAGATAAGGAAGACCCTCCTCACCCTTTTCTGGAGAGGGCACACGGAGCTCTCACAGCCCTCCCTGAGAGGAAGCAGGCAGTTAATGAATGCTGCATTCTGCCCCCCTCGCCCCTGGCCGATCCATTTTGCACTTTAGTCGCCTGGATTCTGGCAGGAGAGCCCTGGAGAGAGGGAGGGATTGCCTGGCAAAGCTGTGTCCCCACGGGGTGGCAGCCTTTCCTGCGCTCTGGCTCTCCCAGGGACTCTCCCTTCGCCTCCTGGGTTTCGACATCTCCCCGGTGAGACGGGAACCCAGGGCACAAGGCACATGGACGTGATAAAGGTTGCACAACTCTGGCTTTTCTTGGTTCCTGATTGATTTGCAAGTTAGCCAGCATTGGATAAAATTTGGGAGCAGCCTGGAAGTTTGCCAGCGTTTCCCCCCTCCACCTTTTTTTTTTTCTTTAAAGCACATTCTGCTACATGCAACACCCATAACCCCTCATCTCCTTGGCATTGTCATCAAGATATGATCTCTGCCATGTAGATCTCTACAATCTGAAGTTAAAAAAGCAGTAGGCTGCCCCTGTTGGCAACAAAAAGTGCTTCAAACACATTTAAAAAATTCCAATATTCTCTCAGAAGTGCATAACACTGATACTCTTGGCAGATCTCTGCAGTTTATTTCTGCTGCTGGGCATGTAAATTTGGGATAAGCAGCCAGAGGAGACTACGATGACGTGGGCTCTGCCCCCCTCAACCTGGACTTTGTGTCTCCAGTGTGACCTCTTGTCAGGACTGGCTTGGAAAACCACAGGTTAATGTGAGAAGATCAGGTAGCTTCCCAGTCCCTCATTTCCCAGCTCCTGCTCTGGCCGAGGGGGCTTTTCCCAGGGTCAGTGCTATCAGGGTCTGCACAGAGCCC